TGCTATGCACTTCATTTTAAACTTTTACGCACGAAACAAAACGAAACTCCACAACGAAGAGCTCTATGATGGCATGAACTTTTTTCACGGATGCCAGTAAGATCATTTATTTTTCATGGTTGCCAAAAAAACTTTTTGTGCCTCCACTTATCTATGGAACCTATAGTATCTATAGTTTACACTAGGGTGTGGTTTGTTTTTCCGAATAATACTTAAAATTCGGTCGTTTTTTCTGGATCAAAATGGCTTGGAAAGAATTGTCCTCGAGCTTGAAGCAAACTATATTTAGATTTATTGGTGATGCAAACGTCTTGCAGGTGGATTTTTGGCCATTTAGAAATTACTTTTACTAAACTCATCACACCAAGTATCAGTTTGACGTGTATTACTTTCAGTTTTTCATTAACCTGCCATTACTTTGTCATTTTTAGACCAAAAAATTTAAAGATGATGATGTGCACTAAAAACTTCTAGAACAAATTATGCCTCTGAATTAACATTCTGGCATTGTTATGTTCCTGAGCGACGTTCATTTAAAGACTGTCTACACGGTTTCTTGAGATTAGCTCTAGATCAGAATCAGAACTAGATCATCTAGTAGTTTTGATAGACCGCGAAAATATTTACCACAACCCATAGTATTGGCACTGCGCCGAGATTGGTGGTTTTAATTTTTGATCGATGACATTCTCATCATCAGCAAAACAAAATTGATTGCTCAATGGAGATGGATGGAGAAGGATGTAATTAAATTACCTGTGTCTTCGGCGTTTGGGTGCCATGTCAATAGAAGATGTTCACAGGCATGGAAAATCATTCACATTAATTTGCCTCTACCTTTTTTAATCAACAGAATTTCGTAAAATGTTGTATGAAGCTTTTGTAGGTTTTGATATTAGCTACAACTTTTGTCAGTAACTCAAATCTGTAAATCTTATCTATGATGAATCAGAGCAAACAGTACCCACCATTGTTTTACATTCACTGAAACGCAATAATAAGTTCTGCTCGCTCTAGTTTGCATAAGAGAAACAGATTTGAGTTACTGACAAAAGTTGCAGTTAATATCAAAACATACAAAGGCTGCATAAATGTTTTGCGGAATTCTGTTGATGAAAAAAGTTAGACGTAAATCAAAGTAAATGAATGCACTAAATGATGTGTTATGCCTGGTGTTCAAGCATGATTACCCGAAAGGTTTAAGCAAGGATGGTAAATACAAGGTCAAAAAACTGTTGTTAATGTTTAGCTCTGAGAAGTGCTTTTTATAGTTTGTGTTGTTTTTGGTAGCAGCAAAAAAACGCATCCGCTCGTATTGACAAGTACGATGCACCCTACAACAATTTATATTGAATTTGCTCATCATTTATCCTAATGGGGTGTTTACATATACGCTGGTTCATTAGCTCAACCAGCTCAAGCAACTAGCACAAATTCCAGTTGCTCCTGAAATCAGATGCCGACTCCGTTTACATTATGCTAACTACTGTTTAGTACAGTTCTAGTACACTAGCACTAGCACACCAGCACAGATGTAAACACCTCATAAGCACTCGCTAATACAGATCTAGATTTCAGACACCATATGCCAACCATCCTACCTCCAACCAACAACGAAGACATCTGCAATGTAAACGATCGCTTCGCCACGACATCATTGAATTACTCAAATTGCATGATGCAAAATAGTCAAAAGCCACTCGATTGTAATACATACTTCAACACTGTTACTGAAAAAGGCACCGTTCGACATGGCAAGTGCCTTTTTTGCATGGTTGCAGATAGGTGCCTACAAACCCATTTACGCTCACTATTTCGGGCGTTCCACTGCTGCTGCGGTGGCGTCGCATGGCAGTGCAGTGTGCAATGCAATCATAATTTACCCGCTCAGTCGGATGGTATCAACAATGGTAATGTGTGTCAAAAGCATCTCCACCTCGCTGTTATAGTGAAACCGTTCAGTACCACGGTTGCACAGTGGGGCGACTCCATATAAAACCAGTTGATGGTCTTTTTTATTTAAATCGTAATTAACATACTTTTTAAGTAGTTTGAGCTCAAGAATCCACATTTTGCGTTGAGGTATTTAAAAATTTAATATTCTAGGGTTGTTTTACAAATTGTATTAAGCATTTTTGTTCAGCAAATATCACGTAAGGGTGGAAACAATAATGGCATTTTCAGAGTTGGGAGGAAACGCTATATATACGTCAAGAGCTAGGTAAAGAAGTGTTTGTTTGATAAGTATTGTCGCATCAATGGCCCTCCACTCTATTTCAACTTCTGTACAATTTTCACACTGCCACTCTAGCGGAACTATCAATCTATCCTCTTCAGAACTCTCTCTAGCTAAGTACTATAAGTACTAAAGCTTCATGTTGATATAGGTATAGCATTTCTCTGAAAATCGTAATTTTCACGTACGAAGTAACAACACAATTTGATTGAATATAATGGCATCCTTTCAGGGTCGTTGAATAGGTATGTTTTAATATCATCCTATGGTGGCTTTTAAATATATCCGTTAAAATCGATATTCATGAGAATTATCAATTTTATAACAGAAGCAAAAACTTGAGCAAACACATACTGACGCAATTGGGCGCATTTTAGTTATAAGTAGATGCCTAGAAATTATTTTCAGTTTGAAAAATAATGATTAAGTAATAACTCAGTTGAACAAAGCTAAAAATGGACTTAAATTTATTTTATTATATACAATGATAGTTTACATCGTTAAGGAAAGAATGATAACATAATATGTATGGAATTTCTTGGCATATCAATGGTCATTAGACTGATGCAAAATTTGACTTTTTTGCTCCACAATAGTTAAACGATTCCAAATCGGATCCTGACTAACCTCTCAAAATTTGAACCCCTTTGGTGAGAAACTGAGATGGCACAAACCATTTGAAGTTTGTATGGGAATTACTATGGTAAAACCAAGATTTTTGTTCATGTCTATCTAATAATTCACCATATCAGTCTGCTTCAAAAGCTTTCAACTGTACTTGTAGGAAATTTTCCTAGCTACAACTTTGTGCAAGACCACTTTTTGATTAAATGCAAGGATCGAAAGTTATCAATGGTTCAATGCGCTGATGTCTAATGATCATGCTCAATCAACTGCTCAGCCGGCAACATTGGTGTTTCTGGGGCGTTGAATAGGACACAAAAATCATGGCTACTATGTCACACTGCAAAATACAGTGTTGCCTACAGAGCAACTGCTTGATCATGTCATAAGTTTACCAATCTCTTAAATAATTAATAACTTTTTCTTGTCTCGTTTAACATAGAAACGATCTTCAGCAAAATTGTAGCTGAGAAAATTTTCTTTAATAAAGTCTATCGAACTGTTTCGCAGCTCAATATGGAAAAAGACTAGAAGGCAATGAACAAAAAGTTGAGATTTCCCATAGTAATTTACATGTAAACTTCGAATGGCTTGTGCGAAGTCTGTTTCTAACCAAATGAGTTGTAACTTTGGGAGGCTAATCAGGATCCGATTTGAAACCAGGCACTGTGGAGCGAAAAAGTCAAATTTTGCATCAGTCTATTGGTCATGCCTTGGTCAAATATTTACAGTTTTTCAACGAATTTTCATCTTCACCGGTATGTACAAAAATCAGTTCTTATCAGATTATCCTGAAATTTTGCATTAGGGCCTAAAATCTATCAGCAAAGCAAAAAATAATAACTCATGAAAAATAATGCCAACTACTACCGGCTTCGCCCCACTGTGGGTTGGTCCCTCACTTCGATTAAACCGGTACGTATCTATGTAGTTGGATGACGTGGTTATTGTTGGAAACTCGCTCGCAAAAGGTGACCGACATTTTTCACTCGCTTGGTATTGTTGTTCCTCTTTCGTATTGGACTGGGTAAACTCGTGCTAGCGGAACGCTTTTTTGCGTAACCTTGACTTCAAATTGCTTCACGGGCAAACGGTTCCAATAGTTTTGCGGGACTACACATGGAGATTTTGAATTTTCTACAGTTTTGCTACCCCTAGCTCGTAGTTACCACCTGTTCGATAATTTTCTGTTTTGTACGCGCTCGTATGTAAACTTGTAGATCTTAACTCTTCGATGGGGACCTTGAAAGTGCGCAGCTGAACGAGAAGATCGAAGACCGAAAGCACCGCGCGTGGATTTACGAAACCAGTTTTTCAATCTTGCTCTCACTGCAAGAGGCTGCAGCTTGCAGCAGTCGATCGTTGACGGCCTTTGTATGGTGGGTAGGTAGTTTGCAATCAAGGTTATTCTCGGCAACGTTACTTGCATTTTCGAAGGTAAAAGAATTGCACTTGAATGTAATTATGTGTCAAAAGGGATTAAATATGTTTTCGGTCAATGAATAACCTTTTTAAATCCTTATATCATACATTACAGAACAGTTCAGCTTTCTCAAATATGGAAGGTTAATTTTTTTCTATCAAGACTGAATGTTAAAATATCCTGATGCAGTTCCATGAAACTATTGAACATCATTGAGTAAACAACTTTTCAATGTTTCAACTTTTTTTAAATTTAAAAAGAGTCGGCGACCCTCTTTTAATTCAGATCGAGCATGGTTGTGTATTTCACTCAGTCACAGAACATAGATTAACACCGAAGTGCTAAGATAAATCGTAAATATATCGCTTTCATATTGCCAGATCCACAGTTGTTGTTTTGGAACGCTGACTTCTACATTCAGAAATGTTCAGTTGTATTGCCTGTTGCATAAATCAACCAATTCGATTCTTACGTAATTTTGGTTGATGATTAACACCTCCGGTTTATCAATAAACGCTACGTTTTCCTCCATCATCTCACGCTATTCACACATAGACTCTGAAGAAACGAAATAAAAAGCAGCGATGCACTTGATCATCCGCCAATTGCGAAGAAGCCACACAAACCACACTGCTCACATCCACACCCGAAGTGCATCGAAATAATTAAATTCACTCCATCATTTCCCATCCACAGAATTTGCCCCTTCGTAGCAACCATCGGTGAAAATGAACACCACTCGCCATCGGTTGATACGCGAGCTGAATAGATTAGCGTCGACGTCGGCCACATCGGCTTCACAATCGGCCAGCTCCACCGCTACCACCACCAACAAAACCCACCAGAGCAACAAAATCCCCAGCTCCAGCTATGCCACCACGACATGCCCGCACCTGATGGATGTGGCTGCTTCGGCTGACTCCGTCGTCAACACCCGGCTCCATCCGGCACACATCCAACAGCAGGCACCACCGACGATCAAACTGGAAAATGCTCGACCTTACTCGGAGGTTCCCGGCCCGAAGCCGCTGCCCATCCTCGGAAACACCTGGCGGTAAGCATGCGCGGATCCTTTGTCCTTTAACTTTGCATTTGCATATTTGTGAATTCTGATTTCCAAGAACTTTCGATTTGCGTCAGTAGCTTAAGACTTAACGCTCGAAACCAGTTTGACTGGGTTTGACTGCGGTCGCCAATTTGGCGAATGCTTGAAGGATTTTTTTTTAAATCAGAACGGGAGCGATAAACTCAAGGTTGAATCGGTTGGGGAAAGCATTAGCGACCGCGCATCTTCGACCCGCATCGCGACTGCTGAACAAAGCAAATAGACCGTGCGAAATCCGCTTTTTACCTGTCACATGTCGTTACGTGACGGCATTCAGTTAATCGAAAACAAAATCACACCGACGCGATAGTGGTCGATGGGTAATGAATTGAAATTGCGTGACCATACTTTGTTACAGTTGCTTTAAATGTTCGACTAACAACCGTTTGTATCTAGCCGTGGGAATTTAAATTTCATTTAAAAAAAATAATTTCAATTTGAATATATTGCAGTTTTTAATGAAAAAAAAAATGAATTTTAAGAGCAATTGAATTGATCTGATGAGACCTTTTTCGATTTGCATGAAACTTTGCAAAATTGTTAGTTATGGTCAATTATTTACATTTGAGTTAAAATTCGGCTATTTTGAATCTCGCATAAAACTTCAAAATGGCATATTCTAAATTTTCAACAAACACACTTAAAAAAAACATGTAAATTTAGGTGCTTTGAGACTGACATATACGAGCGTCATAAAATTGAGTCATAACAGACGTAAAATTCATCTCAATCAAACGTACTTTTCGTCGAGTAAAGAACTTTTCAGTCTCGGAGCACTTAATTTTACATGACATGTTTGTTGACGTCTGATTCTTTATGTCAAAGATAGATTCCGTCACGTGTAAAGTTAGCCATTTCTAAGTGTGTATCATATTTAGAATACGTCATTTTCAATCTGTTGCTTGCAGATTGCTTATTATGAAAAACATACACGGTGAAAAATATCATGTTATTTTGGGTAAAAACAAAAAAAAAATCTAAAACTTAAATAGCAAAAAGATTAACACAAGGGGTTGGTCCCAGCGTTGCCAGATATACCGATTTATCGGTATTAATACCGATTTCCGAACTACATACCGATATACAGATAAGGTTCCTCAGAATACCGATTTTTGAGGTGTTATACCGATTTATACCGATTTTTAAATAATCAAAATAATTATTGGCTGTCTGCACTCAGAATTTTGGGTGAAAATTATTGTGTGAGACTTGTATCTTTTTGAATATCTCAAATTTTTTGAGCATTTAAAATTCTAGAAAAATCATCTTCAAAAATCTTATCTTATGGATACTCTTTCGATTAATGTTTCGATTTCCTCACCGTTTTTGGCTACCCATGAATCGATAAACAGTCGATGACTCTTTCTGGTAATTCCGGGGGAATCAGGAAATACTTTTAAAACATTATTTAACTTCCTGGATTTTCTTCCAACTTTCCCCTGAAATTTTCTATTAACGATTCCTCTCGGAAACTTTTTTTGACTTCCCTTGGAAGCTTCTTAAGCCTTCGCTCGAATGATTCTTCTCGGAACTTTAGGGATGCTTCTAGATTTTGATTGCGGATCCACACTAGCTGCAGGAACTTTTAAAAAGTTCTGAAACTTCAGAAAACACCGAAGCCGAACCAGCCTCAGGTTGAAAGCCTCCATAATAAAGAAAACTAACTAACTTCAGAAAAGGCCAGACTTTTAAGTAAGTTTTGATAAATTAAAGAATGTTTCAATAACTTCTGTTAAAATTCTAAAACCCGGTCCAGTGAACTCCAGTGAATTTAAAGAAACATCATAAATATTTTGTTTACTTCACAAGCCCAAAGAACGTCTGGAAATTTAATGCTTTTCGGGACAGTTCCATTAGTTTCAGGATAATTGAGAGAACTTCGGGAAGCTCCGAAAACATCAGCACAATCAGATCAGATCTATAAATTTCAAGTAAATCGCTGAAATTGTAAAGGAGTTCCGAGAAACTCAGGCAATTTCTGAAAACTTCAGCAATGTTCCGAGGGGCTCAAACATTAGGACATTGTGAGAATATTTTATGGGATGTTCCGTGCTTATTAATGGCAGTGTCGATAACTTTTAAACATTAGAAAAATCGGGAAGATCAGAGAACTTCAGTGCTGATTTTACAATAAATTCAAGAAAATTGTGAGAGCGCTCATGAAATTTCGTAATCTTCAAGAAAGTCAGAGACCTTCAAAGTTGATTAGAGATATTCCGGTAGCCTCATCATAATCAGGGAAGTTCCAAGTATTTCAAAGATGATCAGAGTACTCCAAAACAGCTCGAGAACCTATGAAGTAATCCTAAGTACATTTCAGGAATGTTCCAAAAACTTCAGGGCAAGGCGGGGATGTTTTATGATGATTTGGAAAATTTTCTGGATCATTACACAAGAGCTATTTCTTCCAGAATTATGTCCTTGTTTCATTCGACTGTTCCGTTAGCTCTCAGGCTTCCGACTTCCTCCAGAATTTTTTTTTTCCAATCTACCTGCCAGCGTCTCCAGGAAGCTTCTTCTGTCTTCTCCAGGAAGTTCAATTAAACATCTCCCAGAAATTTCTTTCGTCTAGTTCTGGAATTTTGTCCAGTTGGTTTTTTTTTACTTCTATTGGAAGGTTTTTCCTAGCTTCTTCTGGCTTCCCTTAGAAAAGGCTACTTCTGGAATTTATTTCCGATTTGCGAAATTTGAATGTGAAATCCGATTTTTTTTTTCTTAAAATTTCTTTAAATTTTCGCCAGAAGTTTCTCAAGTAATGCCTTGGAAGATCATAGTCCAAAAGTAAAAAATGTCGCTTTAAAAAACTGCAAAAATATAAAATTATTTAAAATAGTAAATACCGATAAATACCGATTTTTTAAAACCTTTTATACCGATAAGCTTTAAAGCATTCTGGCAACGCTGGTTGGTCCCTCTGCACAGTGTGCCAAAAATAAGCTTGGGCACACCTGGGCACAGTCATTGGCACTTTTTGGCACCCATGGTTACAAATTTTCTAATCTCCAAAGTTACTGGCAACACTAAAATTTTTCTGGGCCAGGCGTACATCAAATGTTGTTCATACTCCCGGGTCATCTCAGGTTTCGAAAAACGAAACAAAAACAAGAGCTGTTAAGATACCGGGATGCCAAACAAGGCATTATTCACGAGCAAACAAAAGTCAGTTTCATGACTTCTCGGCACTGCCGGCACAGCTGCGGCACAGCTGCGGCACACTGAGGTACATTCAGGAAAAAAAAATGGCGCTAAATAAGTGAGTAGAGTGACCACCCCTTGGATGGTCATCAATATTGCCTGAATATTTTTAATTTAAAAGCTTATAAAAAATTACATCTTCTGTGCAATGTTCAAGATGGACACTTAACAATTAACAAAAATCGTTAAACAACAACTCTTGAACACATTTTTGAACTTTAGGCTTGAATTTTTTTTTATAAAATTTTACACAGAAAACAATTTTTTAGACTTTCAAAATCGTTTCCTGTTATGTTCTGTTAAATTTACAAAAAATAATTATAAACAAAGAGTTCAAAAAGTTGTCCAAGAGTTGTTGTTCTATGATTTTTGATAATTTTTAGGTGTCCAACTAGAAAATTTCGCAAAAGATAGAATTCTTTAATAGATAAGTTTTTTAATGAAAAGTAAAATTGAAGAGAGTTATAATATGTTATTTATGTTTAAAAATTATTTTCGATGTTTAACCCGGAATTTCTTATTTTTTTTAACTTTGTCTCAAACGCCATTTTGATTGAAAGTGACATTTTCGAGTTCGGATTTGTCGAAAAATATCGAGAAGATTGAGTATGATTTTTTTTTATTTATTTGGCCAGGAAATGCTCTTAACCAACGCACAGTGAAAGAATAAATAGTATGAGATTGGTCGAAGGGTCTCAACATTTTATATAATGTTGCCCACAGGCGCCTTCCATTCATTTTGGCTAAAAAAATGTTTTATAATGTTTTATATGATAATAATGATGATATTTTGTATGTTTAAGTAACAATAAAAGATTTGTAAAGTTTGTGTTTGGCACATAAAACCCGCAAATTTAGCTTTGATAGAGTCACAATTAGCGAATTTTCTGATCGCCTCTTTTCGAAGAGTGAAATGCGATGAGTGGGTGAGATAAATGACAAAATTGCTTATTGCGACTCTCATGTAGCAACATTGGCAGGTATTATCTATCAAACACAAACTTCACAATCTTTTGTTCATACTTACACATACAAAATATCATAATAATATCTTATTATTTCAAAATTTCATAAAACATTTTTTAGCCAAAATGAATGGAAAGCGCCTGTGGGCACCATTTTATAAAATGTTGAGACCTTTTGACCAATTTCATACTTTTTATTTTTTCACTGTTCACTGGAGTATCTTTGCGCCAATATTTTCAGTGTGCCGCAGCTGTGCTGGCAGTGCCGAGAAGTAATTAAGGGGAAGCTCCCCGTTCCGAAAAAATAATTACGTTTTGATTTTTCTAAAAATATTGGAAAAAGGTATCAAAAAGGTAACATTTTTTATAAGTCACTATTGTATAAAGGTGGACTCAAAAAACCACAAAACATCGACTTTTCGGTTTTGCTGAGTGTCCATTTTTTTCATGATGAGATAGAAAAAATATTTTTACATGTACACTACCGATCAGTTTAAGATAAGTTTAAGTTTAAGGACACCCCCAAAAAACCATGCAAATATGTTTTGTTCAATGATCTCTCATTTAACGTTCAATGTTCGATCTCCAAAGGTTATTTGAATGGTATGAATGGAATAACATAAGTGTTCTACTACTACTTTTATTTCAAAATTTGACCAACCCAATTCTGAGAAAATCAGTCACGATTCTTCAAAGTAAATTTTTAAAAAAATATTGTAACTTTGGGTGAACTTTTAGCTCACAAAATTTGAAAATTATATTGAACAATTTGCCTACGAGGAAAGTTCC